CAGGAGGACTGTATAGGCTATATGCAAACACTATAGCATCTTTTAGAGGGACTTGAGCATCTGTGCTTTTTGTTAATATTGAAAGAATATTCTAAAACTAATGTCCCTTGGGTACCAAGGGACAACTCTCCTTCCTGTTCCTGTAGTTGCTAAGATGGTGGGATATTTGTTATGCAGCACTGTTGACATTAATAGCTGACTGTAGTGTTCTAGTACTTCCATTTACTACATACGAAATCTTCAGAAAGTCACTTAACCTCTTTGAACCTCAGAATGCTTTTACAATTTTTTGAAGATATATTCATCTTTTCTCCACTAACTTCATGCTGTGACTGTGTGACAACAGAAGAAAAAGATTTTTAAGACTGTAAAAAGTGATTGAAAATATAAAATAGCATTATCAGAAAGCACGGTTTTGACCTGGCAACAGAGCGTGCCTCAGCAGTGTAGCCCAGGACATCTGCCATGAAGCTCATCATGTCCCCAGATTTCAACAAGGCAGGAATCGAAAGTCATTTTCACTTCTGAGCTCTTACCTGAGGGGAGCCATCATGGGTCCACACAGACTGCAGTACGGGAAGGTCTGCTGTAATTTAGTTAGAATGGTGGAAAATGGAAGCAATCTGTATGCCCAACAATGGCAAACCAGATACATCTGAAGAATGATAAAACACTTACATAAAGCACTTCTTACAACCATGTTAGATCAGAGAATTTTTGCAAATAATGCTTCTTGGGAACTGGAAGATTCAGAGAGGTGATTCAGGAGCAGATCTGGATGAGAAAAGAAAGGTACTGGGCAAAATGTGGGTCCTCTACTCCAGCTTCAACAAAAGAGATGCTCAGGGCTGGAGAGATGGTTAAGAGTGCTCAGTGGTTAAGAACACTTGCTACTCCTGCAGAAGATGGAAGCTTGATTCCCAGAGCTTACATCAAATAAATAACTTAAAATCACCACTAATCCCACCTCCAGAGGATCTAACACCCCCTTCTGGCACCAGCGCGTGTGCGCGCGCGTACACACACACACACACACACACACACACACACACACACACACACATCCATGCATGCACACATACACACACACAAACACATGTATGAATGTATGTACTTGCATACACATGCACACACACACATGCATGCACAAATAAAAAACAAATCTTAAGAAAACAAAGAAAATCTCAAATTGCACTTGTGCTATGGACCAAATGTCTCTGCTCCCCTCTACTTCATAAAACATGTATGCTGAAGCTTTATGACAGTGTGAGCTGAGGTAATAGTGCTATTTGCAGAGGAAGTAGAACCTCTGAGAAGTCAAATCTAGCTGTCAGACCCAGGACGCTGGCCTTGAGGGTTATACTCTGGTACAATCCTGATCCACTAAGCTGTGAGCAACCCACACCCCAAGTTCCCTCTAGCTTGGAAAGACCCACCTCTGCCTCCACCAGAATGGACAAAATTCTCTCTGAACTGCAGGTCAGAACAAAACTCTCCTCCCTTAGATCACTTCTGCCCAGTATTTGTCACTAATGCAAGCCCTAATTTGCAATATAACAGTACTTAAAGATGGTGCTTTGGAGATAATTAGGTTTAAATGAGGTTATAACTGTAATAAACACCTGTTATTTCAGCCCTAGTCTATGGGCCTGCATTATAGCAGTCTGCTGTGAACTGCTATTTGTATCCACAGAATCCCTATGTGATGATATTAGAGGTGGGGCTTTGGGGAGGTCATTAGGATTAGGTAAGGTCATAAGGGTAGAACTATCATGAATGGAATGGGTGTCCTTAAATAAGACACCAGTCAGCTTGCTTGCCTCTCTGCTCTCTGCTACTGGAGAAGTTGCCAACCTGCAACCTGGAAAAGGGTCCTGATCAGAACCTGCCTGTACTGGCTCCTGGACCTCAGCACTCCAGTCTCCAGAACTGTGAGCAATAAATGTCAGTCTACAGCGTTTTGATACAGCATCTTGACCAGGCTGAGACAAAGCCCAAGCACACTAAGAGTTCTCAGGAAATGGTTCCAATGACTGTAACAGAGAAAGGCTTTACGAGCTTCTGAAAGACGTTTACAGACCTCTGGAGAAGCATAAATCCTGAAAGAGAAATCATGGGGTAGGGAGGGATTGCTGTGTGATTCCATCTTGTAATGAGAGGAAAAGGAGAGAGTTAGAGAGAGGAGGAGGAGGAGGAGGAGGAGGAGGAGGAGGAATGTTCTCAAAACTGCCAGCTGTATTTAGCTAGGTGGGATCCTTCCTTTTGGTTTCTTCACTTGACTTTTTTTTTTTTTTTTTGGTTTTTTGAGACAGGGTTTCTCTACTCACTTGACTTATTTAAACATGCTCAATGTTTACTGATCAGTTGTGACCCTCTAGAAGGGAAAGACAACAATAGGTCAAGGAATCAAATATTCAATAAGCCGTGTCTTTGCTATGGTTTGAGTGTGAGGTTTACTCCCAAAGTGCTCATAGGTTGAAGACTTTGTCCCAGAGTATCACTACTCAGAGATGGTTGGGTCCTGGGGGCTCTGAAATCATCAGTTACTTATTAAACCATCAGTGGGTTCATAATGTGATGACATTTTTGAAAAGTGATGGAAATTAGGAAGTCACGTCTATCTGAAAGTAGGTCACAGGGGACACTTGTGGAAGGAAGTGCCATGCCCCGGCCCCTTCCTATTTCTTCTCTTTACATTCTTGCAGACATTTGAACAGCTCTGCTCTGTCATGCCCTGCAATCCATGATGCTCAGCCTCAATTCAGATCCAGAAATACAGAGCCAGCCAAATGTGGACTGACCCCCCTGATATCACCAGACCCGGAAATACAGAGCCAGCCAAATGTGGACCGATCCCCCTCCCCCCAAAATCAGGAGCCAAAATAAAGCTTCCTGTGCTGGGCCATTTCTCTCCAACTTTTGCCATAACAAGAAGTACTGCTAACATAGCTCTTATGTCTGCAGTTAACTAAGAGCACTTGAGGCCAGGTTTCTGGGTTCCAATCCCATCTGGACACTGATGAACTAGATGCCCTTGGGAAGAAGCCTGAATCTTACTGTGTCTGAAGGTCTCGGCTGCTTCACCGCATGATCAAGATGTTAACAAGTGAATGTCTGTGAAGGATCCAAAGAGAGGCAGTGCAGGGGAGGCACTGTAGAAGCTGCTGCTTCCACTATGTTTTTTTTAAGCATCCTCAGAGGACATCTCCTCCAGAAGTTCTTTGCCTGCTTTTTCTGAGAGGAACATCCCACAAACACCATCACTATATTGCTCTTCCTGCCTTTATTTTATTCACAGCCCTTATCACTCCTGACCTTGCATACTTTATTTACCTGTTCACCATTACTCTCCACCAGTGTGTAAGTCAGGCACTGTGTTTGGCTCACATGTCCACCAGTGTGTAAGTCGGGCACTGTGTTTGGCTCACATGTCCACCAGTGTGTAAGTCGGGCACTGTGTCTGGCTCACATGTCCATCAGTGTGTAAGTCGGGCACAGTGTCTGGCTCACATGTCCACCAGTGTGTAAGTCGGGCACTGTGTCTGGCTCACATGTTCATCAGTGTGTAAGTCGGGCACAGTGTCTGACTCACATGTCCATCAGTCGGGCACTGTGGGTGACCCATGTAGGCTCAGCACATGGTAAGAGTCCAGTGAACATTTGTGAAAGGCAAGAAGGAGATGTCAATTCTGACTCAAAGGACAGAAAGACTTTGACAGGAGGACCGTGGCAGTGAAGGTGACCATCCTAAAATACTATGAGTAACAGCTAGGGAAGACTCAACCATGCACTGCTGCAAGGCCCTCTGGGAAGTTCTCTGCATCTACAAGGAGTGAGGGACGGTGCCCCAGGACAGCCAGAGGAGACACACAGACCCAGTGGAGAGATTTGAGTTCAGCCCAAAGGCCACAGAAAGTCCTTTATACACTACCAAATCATCTCAATAAAGCAATTCCACCTTGAAAAAACATGAGCCACGGAGCTGCAGTTTCTCCAGAATTTTGTATTAATTATTTCCTGGCCTAAGGCATTCTATGTTAATTACTCTCAATTGAAAAACTCCATGTTTATGTTTGTGTTAGCAAAAAGCTGTAGGGATATGTCATTTTTTAAAAATCATTTAAGTCCTCAAGACAGTGTCATCATCTTCCAGAGTAGACCAGTCTCACAGACCTTCAGGATACCAAGCAGCATCTTCAGGGGACATATTGACATACATATGTTCCTCCCCTCCAGTTCCGAGAATGGAGTAAATGTTTGGTTTTGTTTTCCTTCCTTCTGTGTATTTCCCTATCTTTAGCCTCTATTGAAGAGAATTTCATAGTTCAAGCTACCAGGACTAAAGGTTCCTCCTCCTAATGCTAACCAAAGTATCTAGGGGTCAAAGGCAAAGACAGGAAATACTAGGAAAAGCCTTTTGAGGCTGTGGTGATGGATCAGTCTGCAAAGTGCTAGCCATGAAGCATGAGGACTTGATTTCTATCCCTGTGTGAAAGCTGAGCAGAGTAGCATACGCTTGAAATCTCAGAACTAAGGAGACAGAGACAAGTAGAGTCCCGGGACTCACTAGCTAGCCAGCCTAGCCCAATGGGTAAGTGAGAAGAACTATTAATGTCTCCCCTAGATTCTTCCACCAGGCTAGTTCACAGGGCCAGGAACAGGTCTCTAGGAGCCCATATCAAGACTGCTCACAGCTCCATAATTTATTTTCTAGAGCTTAGGGGCCAGATCCAGTGACTTTGTAAATAAAGTTTTATTGACATGCAGCCATATCTTTTTGTTTATGTTTGATCTGTGTCTGATTCTTCTGCATGACTGTAGGGCTGAGGAACTACAGAGACCAAAGGATTTGCCAAGTCTACAGAAGCTGCCCTCTCTCCCTCTGAAGTAGTTTTTATTAAAAAGCTTGTAACTTGTCACTCCTGTTCTAGAGTGATGTTGTCCAATAGAGATATGAGAGCCATGAAGCAAATTTCCCATTTAGAACAAAAAGAAACAAGTCAATTTTAATAAAATGTTTTATTTAACCCAGTATATTCAAGGTATTATTGTGATAACACACAATCCACTTACAAAAATTAGTGAGGTTCGGCTGGGAAGGTCACTCAGTCAGTAACAGGCTTGCCTTGCAAGTGTGAGGACCTGAGTTTCATCCCCAGAACCCACATGGAAAAGGTCAGGCGAGCCCACAGATATAAAGGCAAGCCCTACCCAGATGGGGTCCTGAAGCTGGAAGGATGAATGTGAGGGGAGAGGCATATAGACAAGAAACCCCCAGCACTTGAGTGATGAATAGCCAGAGCATCCTGCTGGCCTTTGGCATCCTGCTGGCATCTTGGTCCGGCTGCTGCAGGCAGTTCTACTTAGCATCCCCTCCTTCTGCACACCCATTGCCTGGACCCTGACCAACGTTATCCATAACTTGGCAATGCGTGTCTTCCTACATACAGTGAAAGGGTCACCCCTGCAACCCCTGGCCAAGGGAAGTTCAGTTTATAACACATGGGAAGCAGATGAACTCCTTTTTCTTCTTCTTCTTCTTCTTCTTCTTCTTCTTCTTCTTCTTCTTCTTCTTCTTCTTCTTCTTCTTCTTCTTCTTCTTCTTCTCCTTCTTCTTCCCACTGTTTCCTCAGCATCTCTTCTGTTCTACTCCACATATGGGGCAACTTCTGCACCTAGTACAATGCTGCTTGCTTCCTCATCAGCAAGGCCTCACTGCCTAAGCTTCCCTTATGCCATGGAGTTCATCTCTTTGAAATCAAATACTGAAAGACAGGCTGGGGAATCTTCAGGCATTGAGAGCATACACTGGAAACAAAGTAATCATGTATTTCTCTCCTCCACACTATATTCTCTGTCTTGGAAGCCTGAAAAATATACAAACCTTTTCTAAACTTGGCCAAGCCCTGACAGAGCTAATATCTCATGATGAAGGAAGGCAGATGAAGTTAAGGGCCACACCCCTCCTCTAGAAGCCACACATATTTGGGCAGCTTGTCTGGTAGCTACTTTTACACATCTTCTACATCTACCACTTTGAATTTATGTTTTCCTGTGTGTTTCCCTTAAAGGAAAAATATAGTTGTGTGTGTGTGTGTGTGTGTGTGTGTGTGTGTGTGTGTGTGTGTGTGTGTGTGTTTTCTGGTGTGCTGGCACATGTTTGTAATCCCAGTGCTAAGGAAACAGAGACAGGAGGCTTCCTGGGGCTCACTGGCCAGACAGCCCGGCTTAATTGTCAAGTTAAGATCAGTGGAAGATCCTGTCTCAAAAAAAAGTAGACATTACATGAAATATGGCACCTAAGATTGTCTAGTGACCTCCACATGCACATACATACATGTATACCCACACATATATAAATACACACAAAAATAATGATGTTGACATTGACCTTTTCATACTAAGCCTTCACAATCTGATGTGTATTTTACATCAATGGCACATTTGCACTCAGACAGCCCCTTCATTGCCACAAGTGGCTTTGGACTGCCATATTGGAAACAGCCACTCTTGAGTCATCCATGGTTAAAGAAAAGGTGTCTTACCCCATGCAAAGGTTTCGCATCCTTGTCTTCATCAGGAACCCACAACTGATGACCACTGGCATAAGTCCATGGCTGCAGTGTGGGGCTAACTGGTACAGTTCATGCTCTAGCTCTCCCCATGGATCAGGCTGAGGCTGGATGCCAATGAAGACCTTGCCTCTTTTGTCCCCTGCCTACTCTCTTACTACCATCCCTCCCTTCCAGAGCTCTCCCAAGGAAGTGTCTTGCACAAGAATTCCCATTTCAGGTTCTGATTCTAGGGAACTTGTCTGGGTTCGGAGAAATAGGGGAATAAATATTTATTGAATATTTAGCATATGTCAGACACCTACTAACTATTATTGTTCTACAAAGTTATAAGGTGGAAAATATTATCCACATTTTAAATATGAAGAAACCATAACAGCCAGGCATGGTGGTGCATGCTTACAGCCCCAGAACTTCTGAGAAAGAGAATTTGGAGAGTAAAGTTAGCTGAACTACATAGTGAGATTCTATCTCTCAGTCACAAATAATAATAATAGTAATAATAAAATAATAATAATAAAAGATGAGAAGAAGAAAGAGAAGTAAGAGGGGTGTTGAGGGAAGAGATGTGGGAGAGAAAAGAAGAGAGAGGAGGGAGAAGACAGAGTAGAAAGGGGAAAATGGAGGAGTTGGAAAACACAGAAAGCAGGGATAGAGGAGAGAAGGGGGAGGGAAAGAAAGGGGAGGGAAGGGGAAGAGGGTATATACAGCCATATAATAACATGCTACAGAATTTTTAGTAATATTTGCAAGTATATGCAATAATAATGAAATACTTGAGGCATAACATCCATTTGGAAAAAAACAAGACAGAAGTCATAGTGTGGATATGGGACTTTTTCCAAATCTGACAATGGAAATTAATACTAAAAGGATTTTAGTTATGATATGAATGATTTTGTCTCCCCAAAATTCATCTGTTAAAATCCTAACCATCTAAGTGATGATATTAAAAGGTGGGGCCTTTGGGAAGTTCCTAGACACTGAGGGCAGAACCTTGCGAATGTCACTCACAGCCTTATAAAGCAGGTCTGAGGGAGCATGCACGTCCCTTCCACAATGACAGGATGAGGAGGAGGCACCATTTTTGTCTACAATCTCACGGTATACTCCATGCTGGCCTGAAACCCACAGTCCTTCTGCTTCTGCCTCTTAAATACTGGGATCACAGACACACACCACCATGCCTAACTCAACATGGCACCATCTATGAGAAAGCAGGCCTTGCCCAACACCAAATCTACTGGCACTAGAGCTTGGGCATGTCAGCACTCGCTGCTGTCTAGTGGGCTTGTGTTGTTTATACTTAGAACAGCCCAAGCATGCTAAGACAGCAGCATACCATAATGGCATCATCAATAACTTTCTTTGGGCATTTAGAATGGATAGTTGTTGGTTTTCTTCTGTTTATCCTTGTTTTCCAACGTCAGGAAACTGTCCCTTTACTGATAAGCTTTGGATCAACTGAACACACTGTCATGCAATGGTTAAAGAGCTTGGTTTGGTTTGGTTTGGAAATGAGCAGACCAGGGCTCAAACCATAGCTATTTACATGTTAACATCTCCAAACTTCAATTTTTATATCTATAAAAAGGACAAGGACCCACAACTCATGGAAGTGTTACAAACAGTATGAATTTGTATTCAAAGTGGTCAGTCTACCGTCTGGCACAAAATATGTTTTCAGTAAATGAGAGACCAATAAATAGAGACTAGATCATGTTACCTTAAAGGTCATTAGTCAGCTTCATGTGTACTCAAAAGCAACCCACAGATTCCCACCACTATCTTCAAAATCCTCCAGCTCTACCAGTTCAGGTAGTCCTAAGCCCAGCAGCAGAGCCAGAGATTGACAACTGTGAGTCAAGATAATGTCCCTACTCAGGAGGATCTTTCTTGCTCCCATCTTTGCATAATTAGACCACTTGAGTTCCATTTATGGGAAACATCCCTCCAGCTCACAGCTGGTTACTACCAGCTTCAAGGGGCAGGAAGTTCTTTCCTTCGTGTGATTAATGAGACTTAAATTGGTCCAGTGACAATGAGTTATCCTAAAGGCATTGGATAGTTAACACTGAATTTTAAAATAGTCTATAGATTGTGAGAGATTTCATCTCAATGTCTCTGGGAACAATCACATGGTATCTTGCTTGCTGTTCACCCACATCCAGAATGGAAATGGCCCTTTCTCTTTCCGGTGTTCCTGTGAAGGCAGAAACTGTCCTTTACATCTTTTTCTGAAGTGACCAGACTTGTTTATGATGGTTCCAATAATTGCTTTTGAATGTGTTTGTGTTTCAAACACCCCAGACTGTGCATTCCCCTGAAGAAAGTTTGGGGTTCTAAATGCAATTTTTCCCTGCAAATGAGCCTCCAGGGACCTTCTGTCCATAGACTAGTTACTCCCCCAGATATAGCCACACACTCCTTGGAGAGAAGTTTCTATGCCACATTATGTCCCCTTGATGTGCTCTTATACCTCCTCCAGGTATACTTGCTTTCCTGTCCCTGGGGACAGATTCTGGCCCCTCTCCCATAGTTCTCCAGCAGTATAGAACTCAAGCTCTCAATGGTTGTAATCCCCTGATAACACACCATTACTTACATCCCCCCAATAGTACTTCCTGAGATCACCTCCCAAATAAAGGAATTTTTCTCGAATCCTTGTCTCAGGCTCTGTCTGCTTCTGGGGGAATTAAATTGAGTTGGCCCTGCCAGCATGTGGACATTGAAAAAAATTCTTCCAGGCATAACAAGAGGCAAGAAGATGTGGGAAAGCACATGGGTGGCTTGATATGCCGTGTTTGGTTGATATACCTGGGAGTCCTGCCCTTTTCTGAACGGGAAGGAGGAGGAATGGATCTGGGGGAGAGTAGAGGTGGGAGTGAGGGAAGACTAGGAGGAGAGAAGGGAGGGGAAACTGAGGTCCAGATATAATATATGAGAGAAGAATAAATTTAAAAAGAAAAGGAAAGAGAAAGCACATGGGTTCCTTGCTACTTTCTGGCTGGGGACTATGGGCTTCAAGAAAGCCCACATGATGCTTTCACAGAGATCTGCCCTCTGAGAGACTTTTCGAACCTGTCTGTTGCTAACATTCCAGTCCCTACTTGCTTCAGTCTAGTCCATCCTGGCAGCTCCATATATAAGGTCGACTTTTCACAAACCTAGAGGCAGAGGGCTTCCCTGATATGCACAAGGCTCTCGGTTATATCCCAGAACTGCAAATTTAAATTTTTAAAAAAAGGCATTGCTTTGGGCTCAGCAGCATTCCTGGAAAAATAATAGAGATTTTAAAAGCTGACATGTAAGTGCTTGGTGTGCATCTGAGAGTAAGCCCACACAATTATGTTTAATACTCCTAAATAGAAACTGGAGAACAGAGAGATGCCTCAGTCAACAAAGTGTTTACCTTGCAAGCACAAGAACCTGAGATTGATCCAAGAACTCACATTTTAAAAGCCTGATTTGGGGGTATGTATCTGTAATCGTGGTACTGTGTAGGCAGAGACAGGCAGATCTCTGAGGCTCATTGGCCAGCCTGGTCTACTTGGCAAGTTCCAAACCATCAAGAAAGCCTACAAAAAAAACATATAGTACCTGAAGATGATGCTTGCTTGCACACCCCCACACATGTATGTGCACACATATATCCACATGTGCACACCCATGCGCACTCATTAAGAATGTAGCTGTCTAGAGGACAAGACAGCACAGATAAAGAGGTTCAAAGTGGGCCAGTTCATTTAGTCAAAGAACTGTATTGAACATCAATTAGGTATCAGGCAGTATGGTAGAGAAAGATATGAACTCTAAGATATTGTCTCCCTCTTAGTTCTTGGTATTAAACTGTGTGGGATACACATTATATGAACCACCCCCATCCCAAACATCTACAAATGGAGGAATACGCTTTTTTTGTTTGATGGGGTTTGGGAAGCTTTTTTAATGTTTCATTGAAATAATTAGACTTGAATTTATGATCCTTCTGCCTCAGTTTCTCTAGTGCTGATATTATGTGCCACCTGCCACGCTAGGTATGAGCTCACAACAGCCATGCTCATCGCAGAGGTCCTGGCTGTGCAGTGTACAACAAGAGACAACTGCATTTCTTTCATATATTCTGCATTACTCAAATATATTCTGTTACTATGATGAAATGCTTGAGAAAGCAACTGATGAGAAAGGTTTGGCTTGGTTCACAGTTTCAGAGGTTTCAGTTGTCATATACTTTCATTGCTTTGAGCCTAAGGCAAATTCAGGAGATCATGGTAATGGCAGCAGCAGCATATGGTAGAGGAGGTTACTCATCTGATAGCCAAGAAACAGTAAGGGGGTGAGGGAGTGAAAGAGAGAGAGAGAGAGAGAGAGAGAGAGAGAGAGAGAGAGAGAGAGAGAGGCAGCTAGAGACAAGATACACCTTTCCAGGGCACCTCTCTAGGAATCTACTTCCTCCAGCAAGCAGGCACCTCTTATTTTCTACCACTTTCCAACAATGCCAACAAATTACAAATCCATCAATGGACTGATCTATTAGCTGGATCACAGTTCTGATGATAACTTCCACAAAATCCCAGCTTGAAGTTTGCATTAAGGACCAAGACTTTAAAGCCTGAGTCTTTGGAGAAAATTTCTGATTCAACTCACTGCAAATTCTGAAGCTTCTGCTCATCTTTAAACAACCCCTCCTTCCTTTTGTATGGAGCGATGCACTGACTTGTTTATCCAGTCTGTTTACACATCTTATCATTTATTTATTCCACCTCATTTCACAAAGGATTTCAGGCAGAGAGCAAAATATAAATAAACAATCACACATTGAACACAGTAAAAATATAAATTAGTACAGAGGTATGTGTGTATTTGTCATTGTTGTCTGTTTAGAATCTCTTCCTGAAGATCTACCCTTTAAATATCACTGACAGGCAGGCAGACAGACAGACAGACACACACACACACACACACACACACACACACACACACCACCTCCCTGTTACAGAGACTCTGCTCTGCCTGTGAGATTTGGGCAGATGACTCCACCACCTCACCCATAACTAGCCAATCAGAGCACTGTTTCCCTTGGTGCATATTATTTCCCACAGGCTAGTCATAAACTTTTTGTGGTTTTCAACGCAGCTGTGGAGAAATATCCTCTTTCCTTCCCTGGATCTCTGGATCACTAGAAATTACCACAATCTCTGGCTACTGATAATGACATGGCCATTTCAGAAAAATAACTGTCTAGAAATTAAGTCAAGAGAAAATATATAATTTACACAAAATATACAATATCTATAGATGAAGAGACAAAGTTAAAGTCCTAGAAACACTGGAGATCTAGCAGTGTCTACAGGTCAGACGTGGCCCAACACATTCTTCTTTACATTAGGTTTCTGTCACCAGGAACTCCAAATTCCTGACATAGTACATGTCCTATGTAGTCCAAGATCCATGAAAGATGCCAAACAGGCAGCAAGAGACGAGGGTCTCTGCAGTTTCAATTTTCCATGTGCTCTTTCAAGCAGAGTTGATCAATTGATCAAGAAATTGGTCAATTACACTGTTTTCCTGAAGCATGAGGTAGGAACATTTGAGAACCTTTGGGAAGCAAAGTTCTTTCCCTGGCATGTACTTCTCAAAGCATGGTAGGCTTTGTAGAGAGAAACACTGAGTGGAGAACTGAGGGTGTGGGTCAGTTGGTAGAGTGCTTGCTTAGAATTCAAGAATCACTGACTTCGATCCCCAGCACTATATAAAACTAGGCATGGTGGCACAAGCCTATAATCCCAGCACCTAGGAGGTGGAGGTAGGGGCATCATAGATTCAAGGGCGTTCTTGCCTACATAGTAAGTTCAGGGACAGCCTGTGTGACATGAGGCTCTGTATCAAAACAACAAGAAAAATGCTGAGCACAGCAAGGATGGTGACCTCACTGATGGTCATCTTTCAGGAAATCCAGTAGGACTTACAAGGCTGCTGTTGATAGATTCTGCTAGAGTTGCCAAAGGACTCACCTCCAACCAGCACTTGATTCTGTGGGGTTAGACAGAGATGATGTGGTCTGAGCACACATGTTCTGGGGGTGGGGGTGTCTCTCTACAGCTGAACATTGTAGGAACTGCTCCCCCACACTAGCCACTACTAATTCTCAGCTCTTTGCACCAACTTCTGAATGGTCTACTCTTGTCTACCACAGAAGGAAACTCAAGAAGCTGGGAACCTTCTGCCCTCCAGGTCTGAGAAGTGTTATACAGATACACCAGCAAACTACAGGGGCTGTCCTCTGAAGTGCCCCTGTTCCTCAGCTCCTGCTTGTGATTAATTTAAGCTGTTTCAATCTCACGTTCCCACCAGGCTGTCACCACACTGAGTATCTCAGATGGCTCCAGCCCAAGTAACAGATTGTTCGAAGCTACTTGTCCTTACAAACAAACAAAAAAAATATTGCACTGTGCCCTTATACTTGATAAAATCCATTCCAACAATGTGCCTCACTTAAGTACCACAGACAAGGGCAGGTTTCAGACACAATGTTATAACAGTGGCACTGGGGAAGACAGGATCTTTGTTTTGTTTTTCCTTTTGATGTGTTTGTTTCTCTTAGCTACCCTAGGAACTGTGCCAAGGGTTTGACATGCATTATTTTCTTTTGTCTGCACAGTGATCTAAGGCACTAAGTAATAACACTGTTTCCTATAGGAAGAGGGAAACCCTACACAACTTTCCCAAGGTCACTCCATCAACAAAGAGTCAACCTCAGAGATTCCAATCCCAGAGCCCCTTGTCTTGGCCTCTGCCTCATAACCTTGACAGTGAGTATCACAGACTCATCCCAGCCAGAATCCCCTGTTCAGGTTCAGTTCATCTGACCAAGCTTTCCTTTTTTTCTCAGCAGGGCCACACAGGACTCCAAACATAAATGTAGTGTTGGGTTTGTGTTGGGGACAGAGTTCAGGGGAAGATCACTTGTCTAGCATGCAAAAGTCATTTGGTTCAATCCTTGGAACTACAAAAATAAGATATTGAGGATGGTCAACTCTTAAAACTCCAAAATTATCTACTACTTACCCTATAGGAAGAATTAGTTGGCCATATAGAACTTGAAATGCAACATCTCTCAAATTATTGCCCATGACCATCTGCATCAGAATCAAATGGGAGGGGGTTAAGCCTAATAAAAATGTGTCTATCACAGCCTTCAACCACAGCCTGGTCTCCAACCATAGCCAGGGCACCAGCAAATCCTGAGTTCCAGCCACAGTCTGGGCTCCAGCCACAGCCTGGGCTTCAACCATAGCTTTGGCACCAACAAAGCCTGAACTCTAGCCACAACCTGGACTCCAACCATAGCCTTGGCATCAACAAAGCCTGAGCTCTAGCCATAGCCTGGACTCCAACCACAGCCTGGGCAGCAGCAAAGCCTGAGTTCCAGACCTCTATTGCTGCCCAAAGAGAACAGGGCTCTACTGTGACAACATCTATTAAAAAGGACTTTCAGAGTTCCCCATTCTACATTGGGTAAGTGCTATGTACCACATATTTATCATCATTTCTGGAATGTTCCATTGACTGTCATGATAATGGCAGGGACATGCAGACAGTGGATAAAAGGAAGAAAGCACAAACTAGACAAATTTAGGATTTCAAATCCCCAAAACAACTATTTATACCAGTGACAACATCTCTGATTATGTGAATGAGAGCTATAATAAGTAAATGACAATCACTGGTCAACTGTAGAATTCCATTCAAAGTGCAGTGGCTCTCCCCATGTATAGATTCTGTCAATCAATTCCACTAAATACTGGAGAGAGGCATGAGTTGTGTCTACACATAAGGTGTATATAATGCTTTTTTGTCATTATTCTCTAACTAAGATGGTAGAGCAGGTACTTAGCAATCATGTCATTAAGTACTATAAGTAACCTACACAGGATATATGCAGATGCTCTGCTATTTTGTGTATAAGAAACTTGAGCATTTGCAGCGTTCAGTTTCTAGGACAACCAACTCCCAATGAGTGCCAAGGGACAAGCATACAGTGTGCCCAGTGCAAACACAATGTGCATCCCACTAACAACAAACCTGGGAGGAAATGTGCTGGGACAATGAATGACCTTCAGAAGAAAATATCCTGGGCCTCTCCTCTCTTTTGCATTCTTCTTCCCAAAGCAGCAAGAGAATGTGTTCTCCCAATGAGCATTCATCCAGTGTTTTCAGAAAACATGGTACATGCTAGACATGGTGGGGAACACTTAGAAGTGGTTAGCACCCTCATAGAGTCTTCATTCTAGTGAGAAAAAAAGACAAACATCCCCAATGAGAGTCAAAAGGCACAAAACCAAAGGGCAGAATGAGAGCTAGATGACCATAAGCAAATGTGGAGAGATCAGATGTGGATGGAACACTGAAAAGGAATAATGGACCCTGGGTAGAAAGAGTGCCTGAAAACAAGCCGAGCGGGGCCATGCCTGAGGTCCCAGGATGGGGAAGGGGATGACAGTGTAAAAAGGGGGACATGCCATAGCTGAACTGTGAGAGAGCATCTGCAGACCCACTGTGGCCTTGGGTTCTCTGGGGTCCTGGGGTTCTAAGGACCAAGAACTGACTTGCCAAAATGTATAGACTGTAACAAGGAGAGCTTTCTCCTTCCCTTTCCTACCTGGGGCTCCACATCTTAACCTGGGTGTCCCTCTCACAATCACCCCCAAAAAGTCAAAGGCTCATGAAGTCTATACTCTTCATACTGAGCATGACATCAGCTCATCTGAGTACCAGCAGTGTCCACCTACAGAGGTCCCCATGCATCCTCCAGGATATCACCATTAGATTTGAATTCTGCATCCCTCCTCTTCTAACATCCTATCTAGTACCAGCCGTCCAGCATCATCAGTTCAGTCTCCAGGAAAGGTAATAATGCATCTTTGCCTAAACCTACTGGCTAGATAAGCATCTCCATTGTCTACTGCTGAAGATTGAATGTCTACACCCTGCTTCCATACTCATATATTGAAGGCCTAGTACCTAACATCACTGTATTTAGGGACTGTTAGCAGATGAGAGTTAAATGAGAATCTACAAGAAAGAAATAAAACTCCTTCTTTCTTTTGTCTCTACGAAGCCTCACCAGAACCTCACCTGCCAATACCTTGGTTTTGACTTTCCAGTCTCCATGATCATTACATAAAAATATTCTGATGCTTAAGCCACCTAGTCTGTGGTACATAGTTATGGAAGTCCAAGCAAAGTAAGACACTCCCTACAGAGTGAAGTCAAACAAGGTGCAGGGATATTCATAAATATTAGCAAATGCATAGGCTATCTCTGGAAGACCAGCCCATAAACTGATCTCCATTGGTGGCTCTAGAGAAGAAAGGTAGGGTATGGAGGATGGAGGACATTCAACATTTGGCCTATATTCTTGACTTTTTTCCTGCATGTACACATCAACGTATTCAAATACATTCATTTTTAAAGATGTACTACACAGAAATGAACAAACTACTGGCCAAAAGACAATCCTGAAAGCCAAGAGTAGCTATCCTGGGAAATTTTAAGCTCAACAGACCATCTAAAACTCCAACAAATCTGAACACAGGTCAGTGGTAAGCTGAAAAGACTATGATTCACAGAGGGTCTGCTATTTAGATAAAGGTACCTGGGAGCACTTTCTGTGATGTCAAGAGACAACACTCAGGCACAGAATAAATTTGTAAGCCTTGATGATTCCTAGCGAGGCCATGCAAGTCTACAAATGGGCAAAAGCATATAGTACCACCCACGGCTACCAAGAAAGGATATCACAGAATGGGACAGGGAGCCCCATCTTAGGCAGAGAGCTGAGGTAAGAAGGGGCAGCTACAGTCATGTGCTGCTCAAATTCCTCGGGATGGCTATTTCCTTGGTTAAGCACCAGATGATGTAACTAACTTGTATTTTGGGGCCAAGTTATATGAAAAATGCATATCTTTAAATGCTAGAATCACACTCTGGAGCAGCTCGTGGGAAGTGAGTGTGTCTGAGGCAGAAGCAGACGCATGTCTCCCGTCTCACTTCTAGCATATGCTCGTTGTGTGGAAGAGGGACAGGAACACTTGAATTATTTATGTTACAAGCTCGTACTCTTTCTCCCCCCACCACCAATTCTCTTCTCCTCATCCCTGAACTGAGATCACAGAGTTGAATTCACACAACTGAAAGACACGTATGGCTCACTGTACTCCACAGTAAGGTAAGAGAATACAGCACCGGGCCTGCCTGGCTCCTCCTCCAACCATGGAAACCTAGAAGATTATTGTAATCAGATCACAACTGCTCAAGCATCCTTGGTTTCCTAGCAACCCTCAAAAGGCTCTGGTGAAGGGTTGGAACAAAGACTTCATGGGTAAGGTAGTGGCAGCTGTGCTTAAGCTTGCTGGAGCACTTCTCCAAATTATCTTAAAGGTCTCTTTTCCTTACCACCCCAACAACCTCACAAGACCCTCGTAAGAAAGGGTTGTCAGGCTTGGGGCAAGAGTTCCCCAGATCTCAGTTCTGAATTTTTGTACTTTGTCTTTCTCCACAGGTCCTCATATCCCATGAAAGTCCCCTCTGACCAAACAAGGCAAGTTCTTTCAATCTGTTAGCAGCTTCCTGCAAACAAGCTTCTCTGTGGGCTCATGTGACTATTCACACCTCCTTCTCAGTATATTGCACAGCCAATACTTCCCTGCTGATTACTTGGCTATCTATCCTCATGATCATGCAAGCCAGTTTTTGTTGGAGACATGCTATAGGTTTCATGATTGTCTAATAAAGCCCCAGGGAAACACATCCCCATTGTCAAAGAGCACTCCAGGGGCTGAGGCACATGCCATGGGAACCATGTAGACAGCATTGTCATGTTAGTGAAACTGAATGGTATGGAAATGACTTGGACATATGTCAAAGTCTAATTAGACAACAGATATTCAGGAGAAGGGGCTTTGCTGGCTTCCCCCTGAAGTACCCAGAAGCCCATATTCTGCTTCTTCTGGTCATCACCTTGGTTTCTTTCTATAGACTTCTCTTTCCATCCTTACATGCAGCAAAACTAACGCCTAAAACATCTATCTCTCTCAAGGACAAGGGTTGAAGATGTGACTCAATGTGGAGCAGTCAGACCCTTCTCTAGGCCCTTAAACTTTAATGGACACAAAGAGAGAAAAATGATTGGAGTGATTCATGTTTTCAAGGTAGCTCTGAAAAACAAATATGGTTAGAATACCTGGTGCTGAGCATGGTCATATATATTAGTAAATTCCTGTCACTGAGATAAGAAGAGGCTTAAGGGAGGGCTTCTTTAACTTACAGTTTGAAGGGATACAGTCCATCATGGCAGCAGAAGCAGAAAGTCAGGAAGCCGTGAGAGAACAGAGGTTGGGTGGGGCTAAAACCTCCTAAAGGTTCTACAGTCTTACCTCCAGTGCCTCTAGCTAGGGACCAAGTGTTCAAACACATGAACCTACAGAGGCCATTTTATGTCCAAACCATAGCACAGTGCATGTCTGTAATCCTATAACCTTAGTATTCCAGAGGCTGAAACAGGAGGATAGTGAGTTCAAAGTCAGTCTGTGCTAAGTAATAAGACAATCTCAAAAAGAGGGCAGAAGACAGATGACAGAAAGTAGTGCCTGTGTCCCTGTTGCCCCAAGCTGAGACACTCGTATATTTCTTAGTTTTATGAACCAACCCACATTCTTCCAAATGTTAGGTTTTTCCCTCGCCTTTTGTAGAACTGATTCCTGTTGCTTGTAACCCAACACTGTGACATGGACTAGTGACTCCAAGCCTTAAAGGGTAAAGGCTACTGGGCAACAGAGAGGAGAGGGAAGGGACTTACCAATGGCTTTAGCTTTGGCTTCCTTTGGCAGCTGTTTTAAGGGGTTTGGCTGAGAATATTGGAATGGGCATAAGGCAAATTCCTTGTCAATGAAATCAGCCTGGAAACAGGATGGATTGCCTTGGGACATAATGAGTTTATCACCATAGGAGGTGATTAAGTAGGGCCAGGTAAGCATTAATCCACTAACATTCTTCAAAGTTGGCTCTCAGAATATTACTTCCCCCAGATATCAATAATTACCACACCAGATGTTTAATAGATATATCAGCTTGAAAAACTGGAATAAGCACACTTACAAATGGCTTTGTTGCATTTTTTTCTTAGAGTCTCTCATTTATTTGCCCAAAGAGCTCTGGTTTTGCAGAATTTTTCTAAGGTGTAGTGTTTAATGTCACAGCTACTGGGAAGCAGGTGATGACCAGATCAAGCATGTAGGCACAGTAGATACCCAATAGTGCAAGACTTAGTTGTGGCTCAAAAATTACACATAGATGGCTCGGGAAAAGAAGTCAGCTGCACAAGTCTGAAGGCCTGAGTTTGACCACTCAAGCCCTCATAAAAAGCCAAATGTGGTAGTGAGCCTCTGTGGTCCTAGCACTCCCTCCCAAGATGAGAAAAGTGGCAGAGACTAGAGAATTAACCAGAAGCCCGTGGGCCACGTTTGGTGGAGTGGAGCAGCAGGAAACAGTGAAAGCCTTCCTCAGTGAAGTGGAAGGCAAGAACTGATTCCTAAAAGTGTCCTCTGACCTCCACAGACATGCAATGGCATGCACATGCACACATACGTGCACACACACACACATGTGCATGTGCACACACACAATCACACTACACTTTTTAAATATTCCACCTATGGTCTATGACTGGTACTTTACTCTGTTCTCAGTTTTGAATCGCATTTTCCACATTTACTGATAGAACCTTTTCCCTTTCTCACCACACTACAGTCCCACTTAACAAAGAATGTGAACTGTGTTCCTGCCATGGGAGCTTTGCTCATTTCCAGTCTAGGATTACCTCTCCACCCACTCTTCACATCCTTCCTGTCCCTTCCCATTCACCCTTGAGTCTGGCCTTCACTGTCACTTCATCACAGGAGTATTGCTGGGCTTAACTACATCACTTCATTTATTTTACCCCATATTTATCTTAAGTAGCATTTCTCATTTATTTTTATCTATTAGCTTTTTGGAGAGTGCCTTAGTTAGGGTTTCTATTGCTATGAAGAGACACCATGACTATGACAACTCTCATAAAAGAAAACATTTAATTGGGGTGGCTTACAGTTCAGAGGTTTAGTCCATTAACATCATGGCAGGACATGGTGGCATGCAGGCAGACATGGTGCCAAAGAAGAAGCTGAGAGTTCTACATCTTGATCCACAGGCAACAGGAAGTGAACTGTGTGTCATTGAGCATAGCTTGAGCATAGGAGACCTCAAAGCCCACCCCCACAGTGACACACTTCCACCAACAAGGCCATGCCTACGCCAACAAAGCCATACCTCCTAATAGTGCTGTTTCCTGTGGGAGCCATTTTTCTTTCAAACCACCAGACCATCTCCCCTTACTGAAATACAGGTTCTAAAAGTCAAAGACATGGTTTGTTTTTAATTTATTAGTACAGTGCATCTTAGATAATACAATAAAAAGATATGAATAAACTTAGAATACACAAGTTATTCTCTATATAATGAATACTGAGGCAAGGTAGCTCAGTGGATAAAAGCATTTGCCGTACAAGCCTTGTGACCTGTTCAATTCCCAGAACCTCTGTGTCCTAGTTAGCTTTGTCAGTTTGACACAGTATAGAGCCATCTAAGAGGAAAGCCTCAGTAAAGAATTGCCTAAATCAGATTGGCCTATGGGCATGTCTTTGGGGGATTGTCTTGATTACTAATTGATGCAGGAGGACCCAGCCCACTGTGGACAGGGTACGAGGTCCTGGGCTATATAAGAAAGTTAGCTGAACATGGTCCTGTGAGTGAGCCAGCAAGCAACATTTTGCCTCAGTTCCTGGTTTAATTTCTCCCCTGATTTCCCTCTGATGGGCTATAGCCATGAAGTGTAAATAAAATAAATCCTTTCCTCTCTTAAGTTGCATTGGTTATGGAGTTTGTCACAGCAATCAAACTAGAGCACCATATAAAGGGTGGAAGAAGAAAACTGATGCCACAAAGCTATTCTGTGACCTGCACACATCCTCTGTAGCATGTGCACTCCCTCCTCGTACAATACACACACAGTAATAATTTTACAAAAGAATACTGAACAGTATGAACTTCCCATTTTTCTACAGCAGCTTTGCAAGACTACAAATAGATGATTTGAAAATAAATCAAGATTAGCATTCTGATCAGAAACTAAAGAAATGGTGTTGATGGATGGTTTAAGGCACTCGGACTTGACGAAATGGCAGAACTCTTGATGATCTCAAGGAACCAGAATTTGTCACATTTTCAACTATTCAGTTGAATGTTCACTCATTCATTAAGCAAAGATATGCTAATTGCCTACTACATATCCAAACACCATATGTTATGCACTTCACACTTGAGGCCTTCTTGATCTATCAATTTGGTTTATATTCCCCTGTACCATATCTTATGTATCTCACTTGGTTTACAAAATCACTTGTCCTTTGAGGGTCTTTTATCATATCTGTAGCAGAGATAAGAGTAAAAATATATGGTACATAAGAACTAACCTATGCTGCTCTCACTGCAGGCATGACTAAACAATCATAGCACTCATGCCTTCTCTCACTGCAGGCACGACTAAGCAATCACAACACTCATGCCCTCTCACTGCAGGCATGACTAAGCAATCACAACACTAAATGCACTCTTGGTTTGAATACAGTCTTGAAATACATTTTCAGTATTTCACTTCAGGCAGTTATAATCAGTTATCAGTGACAGCACTCATACTGGAACATCCATTCAACTTCGGATGGAAGAAAGAATCCAGGCTTGGGAGTCAGACCAAAGTGTACCTGAATCCTGCTCTCTCTGGTCATTAAATATAGAGTCTGTGTCTGCTTACATATAGCATAAAGATCCTTAAGACATCTTTAAAATATGGGTAAACCCATCCATTTTGCAGCATTGAAAAGAATAAATGAGGTAATATATTGAAACTCCTGGCATATCACAGCTAACCAATATGCATTATCAGTGTTGGTCACTTTCCACCTGAATATACCTTAAGCGATGGCTTACATATATCTGCTGCTTGATAAAAAAAAAATGAACAGCTGCAATGGGATACACAGAGATCAAAGATCAAAGCACAAGGGAAGTCCCTACTTGAGAGAGAGACATTTTCTTTGGTGGTGTAGACACTGCAGAGTCGCCCATGTTCCAGTGAACAACCTCTCACCCATGCTCCTATAAGTGACCTTGATTAAACTAATTGATTTCTAAACAGATGTGAAAATTAAAGGAGACTAGCTGGGGAGAGGAAGGCAATCAGAAGGAGAGACAGGGAGGAGAGAGGTTAAGGGGCGGTGAACGTGATCAAAGAAGTACAGATATGTAAGAAAATGTCGTTACAAGACAAATATGTATAATTAGTATGTGCTAATCAAAACTCAAAACCAAAACAAAACAGAGAAACACCTTCAAGAAGGATTTTCTCCTCTCCCTCTATCTACAGCAGGGTTCTCACCCTATGGGTCTTGACCCCTTTGAGATCACTTATCAGATGTCCTACATATCAGATATTTACATTACAATTCATAACAGTAGCAAAATTACAGTTATGAAGCAGCAACAAAATAATTTTATGGTTGGGGGTCACCACAACATGAGGAACTGTATCAAAGGGTCACAGCATTAGGGAGGTTGAGAACCACTGCTCTACAGCACTACAGGCCATTTTCTAAACATTCTATTCTTACTACTGCTAACCAGGGCTTAGGGCTTGCCACTGGGCAATGATCTGGTCAAAGATTCAGAAGTGACCTGTGTGCTGTGGGTTTTCATTTTCCTTCATCTATACATCTTCACCCTCTGAGTTTTAAACTTCCTTTAAACTATAATAATTTGTTGTTGTTGTTTTTCAAGACAGGATCTCTCTGTATAATCTGGCTGTCCTGTAACTCACCCTGTAGACCAGACTGGCCTCAAAGTCAGAGATCCACCTGCTTTTGCTTCCTGAGTGCTTGGACTAAAGGCATGCACCACCACCTCCCCCCAGCAGACTATAATAATTAAATGTGAAACATAGCTGTCACAGATAGTCTGTTTGGTAACACACTAAAATCAATATTATGATCCTAAGTAGAGGATTATTAAGGTTACTTTGCCTCTCCAGAGCTAAGTTTTTTTATTATTCATATCAACACAACATAGTCATTTCATAAATATTAAACACACCCAATTCCCTCTTTAGTTTGCTTTGACACTAATATGATCGAGAACTGGCATGGATAGAACATCGTGAGGCAGAGAAACAAAATGAAATTGAGGGAAATACTACTGAAAAATCAATTGTGATTGGATCAGTAGATTGAACTTGGGAAACACTGCCTTTGTGTGACATTTCCTAATTGCCAGCAATGTCAGAATACAGACTCGTGAGTTCTTCAAGGTGCACAACAACTTCTCGTGGCACATGACTTAATATTTACTAAACTCAGATACAATGTACACAAGGAGTAAAATTTAGTACACAAGGAGTAAAACTCCAGAGGATTTACAAAGAAAAACAATAGGAGCAATGCATCTGATAAAATATGCCGAGTACTGTAATCTGACAACATTTATTCACCCAACAATTTTTTACAAGCACCTACTGTGCACCAGGTACTGGGGATACAGTAGGGAATGAGTCAGACAAAGCACCCTGGTGTCTGCCATCTTGGTGGAAAGAGAGAAAAAGTTTAGACAGTGACATGAGCTGTGAGGAAGGTAAATGGTAAATTCCCAGAGCAAGTTCCTACAAGGCAGCTCTACACAGAGGCTTTTCACAGAGCAGGCATTTTAAGAGAGAACAGGTGTTTGTTACTTTTCATGTTGCTGTGACAACACACTTGGCTGGGTTTCTTTGGGCCAGAAAGTTTGAAGGGATGCCATCTATCTTGAAGGGAAATCAGGACCACAGGCAGCTCCATGGGGCAACGGTGGTCAGCTGAGACTCATATCTTGATGGAATATGAAGCATAGAGCAGATAGGAAGTGGCAATGCACCTAAACCTCCAAGATCACTTCCTTCAGCTAAGCTGCTTATCTTAGTTAGGGTTTCTTTTGCTGTGAAGAGACACCATGACCATGGCGACTCTTATAAAGGAAAACATTTAATTGGGATAGTTCACTTACAGTTCAGAGGTTCATCCATTATCATCATTGTGGGACATGACAGTCTGCAGGCAGACATGGTACTGGAGCTGAGAGTTTTACATCTTACAGGCACAGGAAGTGAACTGTCTCACTGGGTGTGGCTTGACCATATATGATCCCTCAAAGCCCACCTCCACAGTGACACACTTCCTCCAACAAGATCACACCTTTTATTAGTGCTGCTTCCTCTGGGGGCCATTTTCTTTCAAACCACCACACCACTCCTCCAGAAGGTTCCACAGCCTTACAAACTAGAGCCACAAGGTGAAGATTGAGTGTTCAGACTTCAACATGAGCCGGGGGTGGGGGCGCGGGGGGTGGGGGGGTGGGGATTCTATATTCAAACCACAGCAACAGTTTGGGAAATACAATGAGAAGGAGCCAGCCCTCGGAGGATCACAGGGAAGCATGTTGCAAGAAAAGAGAACAGCAAGTATAAGTCCCGTGGGGTGGAGGCAATTCTAGAACAGTTAAAGCATGCTTTAAATTAAGAGCTTGGCATCTGGGTCTGGCCACCTCTAATTTATCATCAGACCAAAAGTGTTCACAGTGAAACAGTGAACAGTAAATATTCCACTCTGCCTCCACACAACTTCCAACTCAAGGCCTCTCGGTAATTCAGTACATTGTTAAAATGTTGAGTATTTGAATATCTCAAAGGGCTTCCTTCTAACAACAAGTGAGTCACTGTACACATCACTGCAAATGTTTACAGATCCCCATGGAACTGCCAAGTCAGCATATATTTGTGATCATTCACTGTGCCTTAAATATTTAAAAAACTATTTTTAAAAAGCAGTATTGACCAGACAAATTTTGCCATGTAACTTTAAGAAGATCCATACATTTTCTCATATCTTGTTTAATATGTATATGTATCTATTAACTATACCCAGATAGATTGACAGATGATTAATTATTAAATTTATCCAGATACATAGATTGCGATGAGCCTTTCTCTGTCCTGCCAGCCAGCTCTCAAATAATGACATGGAGAATTCTTACTAATTATGAAAGCTCAGCTTTAACTTAGGCTTGTCCCACTACCTCTTATAACTTAAATTAACCCATTCATATTTATCTACATTCTAGCATATGGCATTACCTCTCTTCCATCTTGTGCATCCTGTTTCCTCTCTGTGTCTCCTGGCATCTCCTGTGCACCTCAATCATCTTCTCCTACTTCCATTCTCTGTCTAGAAGCTGCGCCTATACCTTCTGCCTAGCTATTGGTTGTTCAGCTCTTTATTAAACCAATCACAGCAATATATCTTCACACAGTGTACAACTATCTCACAACATTTCCCCCTTTTGTCTAAATATGTATGTGTGTGTGTGTGTGTGTGTGTGTGTGTGTGTGTGTGTATTTACACAATTATGTAATGTGTGGTATGCACAAGTCAGTTAAAGATGATTTTTTTCTTCTGTGTTTGAGTAGGGAAAAGACATCTGTCAACTTTATAAGTCCATTTGGACTGTATAATCAAACCTCTATCCATGCCATATGAAAGGATGGCATGTAATAATAAAGTCATGAGGACTCTGTAGCCAACAAGATTAATCATTAATCTGAACCAGTCTTAGAGCTGCTCCCATGTAGAGGGATCAGCATATACATCATCTGTCCTGTATTCTTTCTTGGTTTCTTTTTTTATGTCTGTAACCAAGATTTTCAGGAAGTCTCCCTCAATCAAAGCTGATCTTCATTAATTTTGAAAAGAATCCTAACTTTTTGTTTCCTGTGGAAACAAAGGCATAACTTCTCCCCTAATGTAACATATTTTCTGACTTTCATTTTGAAGTTAAGACCTTTTTTTAATATATAGGTTGGTTTAATTTAGCAGTTTCCATAATCCAATGTCTCTCAGTAGCCATTGGCTTTTGTACATTAGCATTTAAAGAATTCAAAGTCAACAAAACACCGTACAGGATCCAGATGTCCTATGTATTTCCCATCCCAGAAGTCCCTTCTATACATTCTGCCTAGCTATTGGCTGTTCAGCTCTTTATTAAACCAATAACAGCAACATATCTTCACAGAGTGTACAAATATCACACAACAATAGATAGAGTGTAGAAATACAGTGATAATTTTTATATAACCAGCCCCAAGTCATAATGCCTAGAATTTAGTAAATAACAAATACTCATTTGATGATCAAACAGGCAAAACACAAACCCACATTCTCATTTTCAATTAATTAAAAGATTGATGGATAGATGATAGATAGATAGATAGATAGATAGATAGATAGATGAAAAGGGAAAGAGTAGTAAATTCATAGAAACGTAAGTTTTGCATGATGCTAATTTCACTTGGTTTAGGCTTTGTGGCTTGTTTTTGTTTACTTTTTGTTTTGTGGGAGTGGTGGGTATTGGGACAGAGTCTTGTTTCCTAGCACAGGCTGGCATTGAACCTACAGTCCTCCTATAGAATGCTGGAACTGAAGGCAGGTGCCACCAAGCCCAGTTTAGGCTTGGTTTTTGTTATGAGAACTAGCTCTTGCCTAAATGCTTGATATTTAAGTGTCCACATCTTTTATGGCACAATAAAGATAACATTTAGTAATTGCTTCTTAATTTCCTTTATTGGAAAAATTGTGAACTTAGCACATTGTGTGAACCCTGGGGCTCCTCCTCTGTAAATTCCCTGACCTCTCTGAAGTCAGAAACACAGCAAAGGTAAGACAATACTAAAGTTCACCTCAGCTCCAAAATCACCCGAGAGTTTTTTTGGTTGGGTGGCTTGAATAGCCTAACTACAGCCAAGAGGTTCAGCACCACGGACAGATCTGGGGCTGGGCTGGGTGTGTTTCCACAGGTACAGGGATCCAGATTTAAATCTATAAAATACAAGCAATACATTAGCACTCTCGATGTAAGCTCAAGACCCCAGGCTGAATACCTGAATTAATGACTCCGAATCTCCATTTAATGAAATATTCAGATTGTGATTACACTCGGCTTCATTAACTGTAATTCTCAGGCTAATGTAATGAGATTTCCTTTCAACTTGTAATTAACTTTATTGAGAATGCTAACAGAGATTTTTAAGGCAGGTTTCCTCAAACCTTACTGTAAATTATTTTAATGTATGTATCATGATATTAAGTATATTACTTATTTTGTGTTGATTGTTAATTTCCAAAGAAGCAAAAGATCAACATTAATCTCCTCTAGAGAGAAACACCAGGCTGATTGAAGAGAGCCCTCGAACCAGAAAATAGTCTGGATTAAACTCTTGATAGTTGACTCTGAAACCTAGGCTTCCTTTGTCAGACTTGGCATTCTTATTCTTATTTTTCTACCAAAATCATTATGATCCTAATCAAATAAAAGCTCCTTTCTTTATACAATGTGCAATAGAAAAATAAAATCCTTTCAAAAAACATTTTTCTGTGGCTCGAAGTCCTCTCTTCAATCAAAGGCAAACAATACCAAAATGTTCCACTCCCTGCCCCCTCTGTTTTCTTGGAAAGTTGTTGGGGAGTATTTTTCATACAGAATAAATTTTATCAGTTTCTCGGGGAAGCTGCCCTGGCTCCTCTGTTGCCCCATGTTCTGGGGGGGGCTCCTGTTTGCTCCCAGGGTACCCCCCAGCAGCTCCCATCATTACTTCCATAGCTTTATCCCCCTCAGAGTCTTGTAAGAGCTGAGAGGATATACAGAAAGCCTCCTCACCCATATTTCTACCTCCCATTGATACATAGAGGGAATTTTTTAAATGCCAGTTGAAAGTTGATTCAAAGGAAATATTAATTACAGGCAAGTAAACAACTGTCAGAAATATTTGGTGCACCATAACAAGATTGGTGACTTTATTTAAGTGGGTTTATTTTCAAAGATAAGGATAATTGAATGCTGCAATTCTTAGGGGAATCAATCAGTAAGGTAAAGAAAGAGAAAAGAAACATAACCCTGATAAACTGAGCAGCAAGGGCCCCTGGGAAAGGCATAAGAAAGGTTGTGGCCAGAGTGCAAGATTTGCACCTCCATATACAAGTTTATGTCCAGAGCCTAAACCCCTTGCTGGGCAGGTCACGCAAAGCCCCTGAGCTGGTTTCTTCACTGATTCTTTGTTGCTGAAGTGAACACACCTGGTAGGTGACACGCATGTGTGTCTGTGTCACTTGTGATTTTTTTCAAGCCTGTCAATCTCATAGCAAGTGTATCCCCTCCCTTCATCCAACATGAGGACAGAAATGTTCTCATAAAGGAATCATGTCCAAGGACAGGCTTTCCCGGGCATGCAAGGAGCACAAGCTTGGCATCTTTGAAACTCAACCAGGCTTGGGCACTTGGCCTTTCCTTACAAATAGTCTTACAGCTGGTTGGGAGAGCAGTGCAAAGCTGGTCAGACAGCGTATGTGGACACGTGAGAAGAAAGTTTTGAAAAGAACTTACTTAAGGTGATTTTTGTTTTCCTTTTAGGGCTCTCTCTTAGTTAGGGTTACTATTGTTGTGATGAAACACCATGGCCAAAGCAACTTAGAAGGAAAGGGTTTATTCGGCTTACACGTCTACATCACAGTTCATCATCAAAGGAAGTCTAGACAAGAACTCAAGCAGGGCAGGAATCTGGAGGCCTGAGGTGACTCAGAGGCCATGGACGGAGCTGCTTACTGGCTTGTTCCTTATGTTGCTCAGCTTGCTTTCTTATAGAGCCCAGGACCATCAGCCCAGGGATGGCCCCACCCACAATGGGCTGGACTGTCTACCATCAATCACTAGTTAAGAAAATGCCCTACATGTTTGCCTACAGTCCGGTCTTATGGGGGCATTTTCTCAGTTGAGGCTCCCTCCTTGGATGACTCTATCTTGTGTGTAGTTAACATAAAACTAGTTAGTACAGGCTCTGTTTCTTTGTTGATAGCACACATTATGTATATGAACAAACATCTCTCTCTCTCTTTCTCTCTCTCTCTCTCTCTCTCTCTCTCTCTCACACACACACACACACACACACACACACACACACACACATATTGTGCTGTTAGCCAACACAGAGAATGAAAACAATGTGAACAACTGTCCACTGAATGCATCTCAGTCCACATCATTGCTCTCTAGTGAACAGATAATTGTAGCACCAATAGTCACTCATTTTACAAGCAATAATATCAACAATTGATATTTATATATCCAGGCATGCTACATTCCTTATATGGGCTCATAAATTTAATCTTCACAGTAATCTTGTGTGGTAGATGTTACTTTATTCCTTTTGTAGAATAGAAAAGAGGTTCAGAAAATTCTATTAACTTTTCTAAGCTTGCACAGCTGGTGAGTGCTGAGACAAAGCCCAGG